CTGGAGGCCCGGCCTGTGCTGAAGCATTTCCCACCTGGGGACCGGGATCCCTCTCCCTCCACAGCCCGGGAGCGTGGCTGGGCCGTGGGGCAGCGCTCGCCCTCCCCAACGCTCACATTAGGGTCCTGGGGAACGCTGCTCAGGGTGGGTCCAGGAGCCCCCGTCCCACCGCATGGCTGCTGCATCCCAGAGGGATGCTGGCCCTGCCCTGGAGAAGTGGCCCACCGGGGCCCAGCTTCACCTCCCGCCACCACAGGGGAGCTGGGAAGGGGCTAGAAAAGGAAGGATGGAAGCAGAAGAAGCCTCCATGATGCCCTCAGTGCAGTCGCACTTCCAGAGCCAGCCTGGGGGTTATTTACCCGCCCCCCCCCGAATGATGCTCTGCCCTGCTGAGGCTCCGTGCGCTGAGGGTCAGGGGCGATGGTTTGCAGAGCACCGTGTGCCCAGGGGTGCTGCAGGGCAGCCGGGGGTTGGCAGCTGGGGTTTGGCAGCGGAGCCTTATCTCGCCTTATCAGGATTTCCCTAACAGCCTGGACAGAGACCAACACCACTGACAGTGCAGAGTCCACTCCGCAGCTGTGACACGACTGCCCTGTGCCACCCATGACATCGCCTGAGGTGTTGCAAAGGTCTCCCAGCTCCTGTGTCACCTGGCAGGGCAACCTCTAGGCTCAAGCGGCCCCTGTCCTGTGGAAGGACATCTCCACCCTTGAGGCTGCGGAAGCGGGATGGGTGCTGGCGTGCGGGTGCTGGGGAAGCGCTCTGCCGGGGGATACCCCAGCCCAGGGGGGACCAGCCTTCAGCCACCCCACCGGGAGCCATAGAGCCCTCCTGCTGCAGGCTGCGCTGCACTGTGCTCCTGCCCCCCACGCCCCCAGTGCACCCCGAGCTGCCCCCTGCCAGGGCTGTGCTCGCAGCCCTGCGGGGGCCCTGCAGGGAGAAGCCCACGTCAGCAGCGCGGTGCAGCCTTGGCTGCCAACTCTGTGAGCACGTCAGGGACACAGGACCCGGTTTGGCTGCCTGCCCCACCAGGCGGTGCCGCACGGTCCTGTGCCCAGCTCCGCTGACGTGGCTCAAGGTCGCAGGCAAGGCCGCGCGGGGCTGAGACGCCACGGGTCGCTCTGCTTGCGCTGCCTGTGCTGCTGCTGAGCTTGGGCACCACTGAGCCTGCAGCGGGGGAGCGCTGGCCTCTGGCAGAGATGCCAGCAGCCGTGCAGCGAGGGTGGCCAGTGACTCCTGGGCT